GCAGCTAGGGCACATAGTGCCCCCCATCTCTGTTGAACATTCCTGCGCCAAAGCTGAGCATAAATATTGAGAGTGAAGAGAAAAATCAATTTCGGAGATAAATATATGAATGGAAGTGGAAAGAATTGCTACTCCTCATCTATCTGATGGTATGCTCATTTTTCATCAGCCACTTGTTCATTTTTATTTTCTTCCCTGGTACGTGTTAGAAGGAGCCATACCATCAGATTTGGTCATAAACATGTGAATTGATAGTTATGTCCTCCAGTAGATCTTGAAAAGCATCTACCTCCCTCTTCTAACTTTGTAAGGAGCACTGGCATTTGCTTTCTGAAGTTCACTAGCGTTCAGGCATGAATTAAGTGCCTAAGGCTGTGACTGCATTAACATTTTGGTTCAAAGCTGTTTTTGAAGTGAACTTCCTGATTACCCCCACTTACTGTGTGTTGATTTGGTATGCAAAGCAGTTTTGATGCGTGTGAGCTAGTTTCCTTTAGGAGGAGACTTAATCAGAAGCTCTGCTCTGAATGCACACGAAGTGTGCTCCTGCCCCGATGAAGACACTTGCTTCTGAACCAATGAGCAAGCTGCACAACCACAAAGACCTGCAGCATGTACTGAACATGCACAAGCTACTAGGGATCTCTTAAAACCACTGAATGCTTCTGCAACATCCTGAATATGCTTTATAAAGGGCCTACTGCATTTTCATATTTTCTTACAGCTGCCAGCCCTCATCTCTTTGTGATTCCTCTGCTCCTTCTTAAGCATCTGTCCTGTCTTTCTTGAAATTCTCCACCTTCTTTACCTAAACTCATTTCTGATGCTTTGCCCAGTCTTTGCTTTTCTTTCTTTCTTTTTTATTTTATTTTATTATTACTCCTTTCCTACTGCTGTCATCTACCCTGGTAATAACTGTGCCATGCAGCAGATGTGCACCCAGAGACCTTGAGAAATTGATGCTACCTGTTAACTGTGCTGTGAAAGGCCTGAAAATGCAGCCAGCAGCAGCATAGCCAAGCAGCAATATTAGAAGGCTACTAACTGCTCAAAAGAACCTCATTAAATCCAAGAAGTTGAAGGCCTTGTTCTTGAAGGTCAAGAGTTGGGGTTAGTGTGGCTGTTGTGTCCGTATCACGGGAAGCTTGAACGGGTCTTTGCCTGGGATAAGACCACCTACTGATGTGTGCCAGGAGGAGGGTTTGGGGGGACACGCTCCTGGTGCTGCTCCAGGCTCCTACTCTCCACTCCATGCAAGAGCCATGCAAGGACACATCAAGCGGGACATTCCTGGTGCTCTCCCTTCCCTGGCTGGCATCAGGGCAAGAACTCTAATGGGCCAGCCTCCATCCTTATGGGTCGCTTGGGTGGACCAGCTCTGATGCTTTATTACCTTTATCTAACCCTCTTTGCAGTTTCTGCAGTGATACCATTGCTTGTAATAGCACAGTTTCCTCTGGCCTGTGTATCTGTGCATATCTTTACGCCATGTGAATGCACTGAGAGCCTATTACAAGCTTAGATCAAGAAAGGTAAAGGCCACAGTTTCAACTAAAAGGACTCTCAAATTATACAAAGGCATATTAAGCAGTCTCTGCCTAAACATGGGAAGAAGATAAAGTGGTTTCAAGGAAACTGCTGAGTGACAAAGATAGGAAACCCAATGCCTGCCCCTGGCCTGCCTCGCTGATAAAGATGAAGCATCTCCTGAGGACCCATGTGAGCACATGGCTGCATTTCAGCACAGATGCCAGGGAAGAGCTTTGGGAAGGTGGGTTTGAATTTGTCCCTGGGAGATCAGCAAAAGCCTGGCCAAGGCCCCGGAGTAGGAGGTAAAGGAGGGAAGGGGCAGGAGCAGCTCATGGCACCAAGAGCAAAAACAGTGCTGAGGACCTTCCCCGGGCTGGAGGAGGACAGGACCCTCAGACCCTCAGCCTCTACTCCAGCACCATCTGCCACCTCTCACGGCACAATGAAGGATACTCCCGAGCTCGAGCCAGTCCTTGCAGGGCTGGCAGCAGCTGAGGGGAGCGTGTCCTTCTGCCCCTCTGCGCGTTCCTTGCTTTTTCAGCCTCCTCTTCCCTCCTTGATCCTTCACCTTTCCGAGGAGGTGGGGCACAAAATGGAGGATGAAGTAGTAAACACAAAATGGCTCTACAGAGTGTGGGAGGCAGGAGCTTTCCCCTTGCTTTTAAAATCCCAAAGAACTGATGCTAGGTGTGTTGCAGTGTCCCAGACAAAATTTATGCTGCCATAAACGAGCACTTAGGAGCTCTCGCTACTACCAAGAACCACTGGCATGTTCACACATCTTGTTACTAGCAGCAACCATTTTATTCTAGTCTAGTTTTTTTTTCCTTTTGAGGGGTGGGAGCGAATGAAATAACATTTCTCATTTACTCAGAATGCTCCAGTGTCCTTCGCATTTCTGCATAGGCCAGTCCTTCCTTCTGCCACTTTGCAAACTGCAATCAGGGTCTCGTGACTTTACCAGCCTGGCTGCTGCTGGACGCAGAAGGGTTTCCCGATGCCTGCTGTAGCCCAGCCTTTCCTTGCCCCTGGATCTCTAAGCACCCACAGAGCTTGCAGCCTGTCTGAGCTTGCAGCAGCATCACCATTTTTCCTGTCTTCTGCTAACCAGTCACTTCCCCAACCTCATTTTCCTTCTGCAAAAATATTTTGTCTAGTTAGAAGATAAAAATAACTTACTTTTTTTCTAGTGATGGATTCGAGAGAGATGTTCTCAACAGAAAGGCATTGAATGATAGAACAAATAAACCCAAAGAATAAAATTAAGATGTGATAAAAACTACCTTTTAGATGTACCTATGTAGACTGAGAATCATAGAATCATAGAATCATAGAATGCTTAAGGTTGGAAGGGACCTCTAGAGATCATACAGTCCAACCCCGCCCTGCACACGCAGGGACACCCAGAGCACGTGGCACAGGACTGCATCCAAGTGGGTTTTGAAGATCTCCAGAGAAGGAGACTCCCCAGCCTCTCTGGGCAGCCTGTTCCAGTGCTCTGTCACCCTCACTGTTAAGAAACTTTTCCTTAAGTTCCTGTAGAACTTTTGATGCTTCAGTTTGTGGCCATTACCTCTAGTTCTGTTGATGGCCACCACTGACAAGAGGCCAGCACCATCCTCCTCACTGCCTCCCTTGAGGTATGTATAGACACTGATCAGGTCCCCTCTCAGCCTTCTCTTCTCCAGGCTGAACAGACCCAGCTCCCTCAGCCTCTCCTCATAGTGCAGGCCCCTGATGATCCTTGTAGCCCTGCGAGGACTCTCTCCAGCAGTTCCACATCCCTCTTGTACTGTGGGGCCCAGAACTGGACACAATACTCCAGATGTGGCCTCACCAGGGCTGAGTAGAGGGGCAGGATCACCTCCCTCGATCTGCTGGAGATGCTCTTCTTAATGCACTCCAGGATCCCATTGGCCTTCTTGGCCATGAAGGCACACTGCTGCCTCATGGTCAACTGCCCAATTGTCCAGTCTGTCCAGGTCCCTCTGGATGGCAGAGCAACCCTCTGGGGTATCAGCTACTCCTCCCAGTTTGGTATCATCAGCAAACTTGCTGAGGGAGCACGCTGTGCCTTCATCCAGGTCATTGATGAATAAATTGAACAGGACTGGACCGAGGACTGACCCCTGGGGGACCCCGCTAGCTACAGGTCTCCAACTAGATTCTGCACTGCTGATCACCACCCTCTGAGCTCTGCCATCCAGCCAGTTCCTAACCCACCTCACTGTCCACTCATCTATCCCACACTTCTGGAGCTTGCCCAGGAGGATGTTGTGAGGGACGATGTCAAAAGTCTTGGTGAAGTCAAGATAGATGACATCCACCCCTCTCCCCTCATCTATCCAGCTGGTCATTCCGTCATAGAAGGCTATCAGGTTAGTCAAGCAAGATTTCCCCTTGGTGAATCCATGCTGACTACTCTTGAGCACCTTCTTATCCTGCGCGTGCCTGGGGACAATGGCCAGTATGAATGAAGTAAGCAGAATACTGAGCAACAATTTTTGTATTTACAATATCCATTTTTTTACAGTTCTACCTCCTCCAGAATAGGCAAATGTTGCCTTAGGTCTCAAATCCAGCTGCACTGGCATCCTTAAAGCACCGGGAGTGGTGCATCTTCTGGAAATGTCTTGGCCAGTTTAGAGGTCGCAGACCAAAACAGCCCAAAAAGCCAGTCCAGTATGGTCTGGGAGCTGCTGGAAGGCTGCATCAGGAGGGGATTTTATTGCTTGTGTTGACTTCATGGGAACTGTTTTATTCTGCTTCCTGCAGTCTGCTTTTATAAGAAAAAAGGCCCTGTTGCTCAGCCAAATTTTCTAAAAACTCGCAAGATTTAAAGATAGTTTGGAATACACTGGGTTTCTTGGCACTACTGGAGAGCTCTGTGACTTAAATAGGCCCTGAAACATTAAAGTCACACAATTCCCATTTGAGGTTGGTACATATTAATCCCAAGTGTGAAATGTCCTGAGAGACCAATGTTTTAAAGCTGGAGCGTATAAACTTGGTTTAGTTGTCAAACTTCAGACGCTCGTGTGGGATCATTTTGGGCTCTGCAAATCAGCCTTTGCACTCCTCAGTGATGTGCAGAAGGTACGAAGACTTGCTGTGGAAATCCTATCATATAATCCTGACGTATGTGCTGCAGAAATCCTGGCATATATCCTGGCATATAATCCTGGCATATAAACCACTTGAACAGGCTGCTCAGAAAGGTTGTGGAGTCTCCTTCTCTGAGATCTTCCAAACCCGCCTGGATGCCACCCTGTGCCACGTGCTCTGGGTGTCCCTGCTGGAGCAGGGGGGTTGGACTAGATGATCTCTAGAGGTCCCTTCCAACCTTAACCATTCTGGGATTCTGTGATTCTGTGATTCTGTGAAGTCTTCTGGCGAGGTGATGTGCCCTCAGATTTCCCATTGCTGGCCCTGCCGAGATGTGCCTTTGCTCCCTGCCTCTTGCTGAGGAGTGGCTGGTTTCAGTGTGCTGGCAGGGTTTCGTCCTCCAAACACAGCCAGACCTACTCCTATCCTAGTCCTGGCAGGATCATATGAGGAACCACACAGCTCATAGATGACTGTTACATCTTACAAGCACTAATGCCTAAACACAGACACACTGCTTTTTAGGGTAAATTGCATCCTAAATCAGAGTATACTGGTTTTCATCTGCCCTCATTTCCATGATGAACCAAGCTTTAGGTGTAAATCTAGAGAGAAAATATAGGGACAGGTTTCTATTTTCAAGACTGGAAGCAAAATTATTCAGAGTAAATGCAACTCAAAATGCCATTTCTGAGTTTGCCTAACAATCAAGGTACTTTTCAGTGGCTTTACATTGCTTACCTGAGATCTTCTCTTCTGTTGTATCTAGGAGACACTAGGAATTGTTCTCCTTATCAGCTAACCCCTTCAGAATTGAGTTTAAGATTGGACTAATTGGTTGGTGTCCAGCACCTCTGTCCTCCAGGTTGGGTGATTATGGTGACTTCTCTTATAGTGACTTTTCCAAAGCCTCTTGCTGCTGAAAATGCCAATTACATTCTACTTTTACCCTAAACCTGATTTCCTCCCTATTATACAAGACCAACATATTTCTTTATATTGGGTGATAAAGTATTCCAATATAAACAACATTTCCTCCTGTCCCACAGGCTTTTTCTGATCTGTTGTTTTGCCTGGAATTTGAGAAATAGAAGTTGAGATGTGGGATTTTTCCTATCCTTCCCTCTCAAAACATCAGAACAAGTGATGTTAGCTGGGCCTAGAGTCAGGTCAAGATATAAGCTATCCCTCAGCCTGATAGTGGTTTATAGGGAGCATAGCCCAACACAGACACCATGGCCCCTGTCTCACATCCCATTAGTTTTTTTCCAAAACCTTGGCCCTTACTATATACTGATTTTGCCCTTTGGCATTTCTTTAAGTGCAAATGCAGTTTTGATGAGGCACCTCTCTACGGATTCTGAGCAGAAAGCAGATGTTGCCCCTGGGCCTTTCCTCTTGGTTTGGCAGCTGTGTGCATGTCTCTCCCGTTCTCCGGTTGCCAGGCTCCTTCCAGCCAAAACTGTGCTCATGTTTGTTCAGGCTTTCTGAGTGTTGCCACACGGCAAAAGACTGTTCTGCAAAGGATGTATCATTGAATGACTTGCTGCTCTTACATCCTCCTTATTTTTCAGTCTTTAGTTGCCAAGCTTTCTATGTGCCTACATTATTCTTCTTCATGCCATTTCCTTTCTCTCCACTTACGATGAATTTCAGGGGCTCTTAGTGTCACCCCAGTGCCAGGGACAGTCTGCAAGGGATACAGAGCTACAACAGTATCATCCTTTTTCTAGGCACAGATGTGGGCTCTGGGCAAGTTGCCAGTCTTGGCAGGAACCATCTGTGTCTGCAGCAATTCTGAGCTACCTTTTGGCTGCCTGTGGCTGCAATTTTGTATTCTCTCTGAGCTTTGCTTTGTGTCTCCAGAGAAACAACACGGGAGAAATTACCGCTTGCTACCTACACTCCCACTTTGAGCATGACCTCCACATGTAACACAGTAACACAGGGCTTGGGAAGGAGACATAAGAAATTCACCTGCTCTGTCCTCCTTAAATCTATCTGAACTTACCTTAGAAAACCTGCTGTGGTCCCAGCACATATTCTGGGGTCCAGGGGCATTGTGAGGCTCCCTGAAGTGGCTATAACAGTGCCTTTCCTGAATTTGTTGCCAAAACACTAGAGAATTGATGAATTCATGCCATGATTACATTAAAGAACAAAATTGTTCTCTGCCTTCATTTGCAGTCCTTGTCCATCTCCATGATCTGACCTCCTGGCGCCTGCTGATGCACATCAGCTCTCTGCATCCAAGGTTAAATTCCTTAGCTCCAGAAATAAGGTGTCCTTGGTTGCTGGCCCTTTCCTGTGTAATGACTTATTGCAAGGTAATTACTAGACTTTAAAGAGCCACATCTGACCTAAAAAGCGTATGTTTTTGCATGCAATAACCTAGAATAAAGGGGAAAAAAAGGTAGGAAAAGAACTTAAACAGTAGAAATCCATCAACTCTTGAGGTGGCGAAAGGCAGGCTCCAGTGATGATAATCCTGTGAGACAGTATTGCATTTGGCACTGAGACTCCTGTGTGTGATCTGTGTCTTGGGAATCCCTTAGGAAAGAGTTGCCAATCTAAAAGAAAAAAAAAGGCAGAAACAGAGAGTGAAAACTCACCTTATTTATTATGTGGCCATGTTTCTATCATCTTCCACAAATCTTGGAGAAGAACGGGCCAGTCATAACTCTCCCACTCACATTTAATCCATAGTGTTCCTTCTATACAAACCTGGAGCTCCACAGAAATATGATTTATCTTCAGAATTTGCTTCTTTTCCTTGGAAAGAGAATTCTTCTGTTTTCTTAACTAGGGGGAAAATGAATCATCATTGTGCAGTAGAAGGGCTAGACGTTAGGTTGAAAAATAATGAATTTCTTGTTTTGTGAACTGAGGAGGACAATGCTCAGGATTTTTCATAAATCATTGTTCACAGTCTTTTGCTATAGCTGAAACAATAATGATCCATACTGCCTAAAAATAGGAGTGTGTAAAAATTCTATTTTGTAAGTATACAGTCACCTCAAATCTATCCATATGCCTTCCTTTATGTGATATTTTGATATATTGTTTTATTTATGAAGCATTTGAAGCTGGATGAAACCCCACTCCCTCCAAAATTAAAAATAATGTTTGAAAAGGTAGCAATTTTTCATGTATTCAAAGCCTAAAGAACTTCAATATGTGTTTCACATTTCAGCACACAAACAAAGCAGACTGCAGAACACTGGTTATATGTGAAATGTTTTGGCTCAAATAGTTGGTGATGAATAAAGACAGATAGATATATATGTATATGTGTATACATATATATAAAGAAAGATTTGATACATGATGACTGTAGCATCTTCTCAATCAAATATAATTCACTTACAAGTCATCATCCATCCACAGTCTGAAAATAGAAACTATTGTAAGAAATAAATCCTGCAAATGGGAGGGAGAGGGGTAATCAAGTTTCAGATGGTTTTATGCACTTGACAAGATGGCATGTGTTGCCTTTTTCATTTTTTCTTTATTAAAAACTGGTGAGTTAATTTCCTCTTCTCCTAATCAGGCAGAGAAACATTCTTACATACAAAAAATGCAGTTGTGAAATTCCCAAGTTTGCAAGGAATCTGTAGGCAGATACAGGGTTTGTAAACATGCTTAAGTGACTTTTAAAGTGGATAAATTTCAATTTGCTTGTGCCCATTTAAAGCCATCTATAACCTTGCAATGGCAGCAGCATTGCTGGGATGTGTTAACGTAAAGATGGACTTGCTATTACTCTACTTGTTGTTTCAGACTGCTCAGATAACAATAGCAGCAGAATGGAAGAGTCCCTCCGTGCCAAGAACAATAAAGTGGATGAGCAGAGTCTAGGAATTCTTGGCAACAAATATCTCACACAAATTAGACTCTAGTATGAGATATTTTTAGATCTGGATTCCTTTCATTGGATGTGCAAATGATAAGGCTCCTTGGAGCAAGTTCCTAGCACTCTCTTTCCTTTTCTGGAAGGGACTGCAATTCTTTGCATTTGTTTCTGGGAAGACTCTTATTCATTTTTTTTTTTTTTTTTAATTTCAGTACATAAACTCAAAACTCACATTATAATGTACTGACAACTCCAAAATGTGGTGGAGGAGAAGGCTTTCCTTGAAGACTGCTGAGAACCTCCCATTACCCAAGGAAATCATGGTGTTTGGTGTTTTGGATTAAATGCAGCACGATTTCAATGAGCAGTCTGTGTGAGTGGTCATCATGTTGTTTTCTCTGATGATGATATCCTGTATCTCAAAATATTTTTTTCATGTTAGAGCACGATGGATTCTATTATCATGTGTGATTCATAATTTAATTTTAATTAAAATGGAAAAAATCAAAGTGCATGCATAACCCTTACAGCTGTGGGAAATGAGAATTCTAGTGTCTTTAAAAAAGGCAACTTTAATGTCTATTTGTTTTAAATGTTCATGACTTGATCAAGCACAAAATTTTCAGGATCCGTTTTTTGAATAGTGGGTGGTCATTGCCTCCCTTAAGAAAATTCCCCAATATTAGAGGCAAGTGCCACACGGTATTTAATGTGAACATTATTGTGCTTCAGCAAGGATTTTGTCACTGTCTTCTTCTAATTCTCACCTTAAGCACAATACAGCCAAGATTCTTGGGCAAGGGGAGGACAGTCTTGGCTCTGCTCTGCACAGAGCTCCCTTCCTCGCCGGCTGAACTTGGTGACAAACTCCCACCCATGGTGCAGAACAGGAGCAACGTTGTTCAGCGCTGCCGGCATCGAGGCTGCTGGCGATGCCTTTTGACTCTCGTTGTGGCTTTGGGGTTTTCAGCTCAGGGGTGCATGTTTGCTGGTGGGTCTTGTGCATTTGGGTGCCTTGTGCAGGATGAGGCAGGGCCTCCAGGTCCCTCTGGATGAGACATCTCCTGCCAGGCAGTGAGGTCTCTCCTCATGTTTGTGTTACATTCTAAATTAGATTTGCACGATTTGGTATTTATTATCTACTTTTTGTTTCCCAGGTCACTAATGAGAGGTGACTTAAATCCAAATAGACTGTCTTAAGTACCCAGGTCGCTCGGCTTTTTCGGATGTGTCGCTCAGCAGCACATTTCCTTCATTCACAACGTTGGCTTGCTTCATTTCCCACATTGAAGTGGTAGTAAAATCACATAAAGAGAGGATGGGAAATTGAGTTATGTGGGGTATCAAGACTTCAGTCTTATAAGAGGTCCCTGGAGGAGCACTTATCTATCATTTCAGAGACCAGATAAAACCCACTAAGACCCTGTTTAAGTAAGTGCAGGCGAGTCGCAGAGAGCGTTCGTGCAGCTGCAGTGGAGTGAGGGACAGTCAGTGCCGAGAGGGTGTGAGTGTGTGCTTAAGATT